GGAGCCGGTAGGCACCTTGCGTACGGCTCAGTTCGGCCTGCGTGGGAGCAGTGCGAGCACGGAAAGGGCGGAGCGCGTTACCACGCATCGTTTAACGCGGGTTGGGGTAATACTGTAGTCACTCTGATTTTCCGCAGCAATCTCTTCCAAATTTTCTGGTATTTATTTTCTTTATTCTCCCGGTATTGCCATTGTATTATCTGCAGTTTGAAGTTCATGAAGGAGAGTACGCCTTAATGATTCCATATGGAAATAATTCCATTATAGCTTGTGTTGCCTGCAAGGCAGTGACTTAATACCTACAGAAACTGTGGTCCAAAGCTGTCCAAAGTCTATTGCAATATCCCCCCCCCTTTTTTTTTTTTTTAATCGTATAAGTGGGAAAGGGTTTCCTTTCTGTTGTGTAGGCAGTTAAAGTCCTGAAAAACATAATGCAAACTTGTTTTTGAGTATTCCAGCAAGATAGGAAAAGTATCTCCCTTTTTGAATGAGTGAAAAATTCTAGGCTGGATTCAACGTGAAGTGCCTTCCCCCACTGGGCATAGTGCTCCTTCTGTAGAAACTCACCCTCTGCTTCCATGCCCCTCTTATCACAATGCAATAGTCAGAGTGTCACCAGTTTCCCATATCTGATATGCTGTGCTTTTCTGTCATGTGTTGAATTACTCACATTATCACAAAATGACCTGAATGTATAAGTTCTAGAATTTAGAACTCCTGTAAAGGGAAGATTAGCTGGTGGCTGAATTGACATGAAGGCCCCAGAAGGCCCCACTTCAGTTCCTGCTGCAGCTGCTCCTTGTGTGGAGTAGCATTGCCTCAGTGAGTTGCTGGGTCTAAAAGCTGTTTTCTGAAGCGGGGTCTGGGAGTTATCGTGGAGGACTTTCCTTGTGTGAGATTCTGGATGAGATTTGGACTTTCCTGGAGGTGCTTCGTATCTGTGAATTCAAGCTTCAACTGGACACCTTGTTTCCTTTCTCTGTATAGACAAGTCGAGGTGGGTAGAATTATAGTGTGCGATAGTTCTGGATGCTGGCTGGAGTGTCTCTGGGACCCCACATCATTCATCTTCTTTGGAACTATCAGGTTGGCTCTGACTACTGGGAACTAACAGTTTTCTCTTTGCAGAGTTCAGTGCAGATCACATTTGAAGAGGGTCCTCAGTTACCACAAGCTGCCAATATAAGTTGTGTGACATGCAAGGGACAGTCGGACCACAGCATGGTAAGGCTTTGCTGTTCTAAACTGCAGTTTGTTGTGATGGTGTGTTCTGCAGACACTGCTGAGGCCTTTGTGATGGAGATGGTGGAACCAGGGAAGTTTTGTGTGAGGTCTGTTTGGAGGAATTTGGAGGCCTGTCTCCTGTTTGGAGGCTCTGGAGCTTGCACAAGTAAGCTCTGTGAGAGAAGATATGTTGGTGGAGCTGGGACGTGTGAAGGCTGAACCCAAACATCAGGGTTCTACTGTGGTGAACAGAGGAGTGCTCTTGTCACAGCACAGGGTCTGAAGCTGGCAGGTTTGCAGCTTTGAACTTGGCGAGAACAACACAGCAGCCTCTTGCCGGGATATAAACTCATCTTTTCCTTTTCTTTTTAGGTGCTGTGGTGCCATCTGTCAGCTGAAGCTGTGAAATTCCCTGTCTCTGTTACTCAGCAGTCCCCAGTTGCTGTTTCTGTGGACACGTATCATGTCACTTTCGCTGTGCTGCAGGCTCAGGTAAGGGATTACAAAAAGTTAAACATTGACCTCCCTCCTCCATCTAGTCCCACGCTGATCGAGGAAGGAGGACCTGATTCAAAGTGCAAATAAAGGCCTCATTGGGCTGGGAGAAGCGGTGTGCTGTCACTAACATTTGGTGAGGTAGCAAATATTCCCCATCTGCATGCCGAGTCTTGTTTTCTGAGTCTTCATATGCAGATTTTGGCTATGAAACATAGCTGTAAGAAATTTCAGAGAGTTTTGAGACATGGCTGCATTCTATACACTGCTTTCAAGTGGGTATTTAAGAAGTGAGAAGTTCAGAGAATTCAATTCCCCTTGTGGCATAGTGGAAGGGGGAAGGTATGGGAGGGGAAAGGCTATGTAAAAGTATGGTGTCCTAGTAGTGGGTGAGAAAAAGAAATCTATGGTGAGGAGTAGTTTGCTTGTCAGTTCCCCTCATTACGTTCACAAGAGCACAGTGCAGCTTTTTCTGGATATCGGAGATGCTTATTCCAGCAAAGAAGCTCTTAAATCACAATGGGTGGTAACTCCATAGTTACTTTCTGGCTGGATTTGATTCTTTGAAATATGGTTTTCCATCATGATGAAGGACATGATGCTGGAGATGGTATCTTGCTTGGAGGTAGTGTGCACAAAAAAAAAAAAGGAAAAGATAGACATGGCATGGCAAAATTAGAAGTAACTCAGTGATAGCAGAAGCTAATCCCATGCTGTTGCAGACAGTTTGAAGCTTGTTCTTGAACCTTTTTGCTCTCAGAAGCTTTATTACAATTTTCAGCATACTTTTATCAGGTTATTCCAGTTTGATTTTGTACCACTGTTCTGTGGTCATTTCCAGAAATGCAGAGCTCCTCTCTCTCTTTAGCATGTAGTGTACCTGCTGCCAGTCTAGTTATGGGCAGCAACTGCAATTGCATTTTATTTCTGAAAAGTCCCCTTTTTCACATCTCATCCAATTGCTCCCCTACTCATTGGCATTTTCTAGGTCTCCTTGTCTGCACCTGGTGAAGTTTTGGGTTGATTGTTCGTGTAAAGGAGTTGCGTATAGTATTCTAATTGAGGTCTTGCTGCTGCTGTTTTTTAAAATGCAGGCTAGATTACCACATGCCTACCTGTTTTTTGGAATACTTCAAGTACTGTGTTCCCAATTGTGCCCTGTGCCCTGTCCATTCTGGCTCACGTCTTGTTGGTTACTTACGTGGTTACTTACGTGGCCACTGTGTCTCATATATGTTGCTTTTGTCTGATGACCTTCTGTGTTGTCAGTAAATGTCAACCTGGTAATTGAGAACTGTACTGAATTCTATTACC